TTTTTATGATCCCAAGTTTTTATACAGCTATTGGGCAACTGCTGGAAATGCATCCCCACAACCAATAGTGAAATCCTGGAGCCATATTATGAAGGCTCTTTTGTTCTCCGTCACCTCTGTGATGATGAGATCAGGTGACTAGAAATAGAGCTGATGCTTACTGGACGTAAGCCCAAATGCAAGATGAATCTCATAGCACTCATCTTAAAAGTACTATTCATAGAGCTATATTCTTCTCCAACTTATATGTTAAATCTGTACTGGACAAGAATTCCCAGTTTACTCATGGAGTGTATGAACTTTCCTTCCTAGTCTCCCAGCTGCAATTCCTTTTCCATTACTTGACTCCATAGTGGTTCTCTTAACCACAGGAAGAAGGAAGACCTGACCTTTTAAACTTTTATTCAGTGAACAGGCAAGCAGGGCAGAAAAGAAACATGGATTTATACAGGAAAATGTATTTTTTGAGAGGAGGAAACATCTTTATTTTTATTTATATTATTTATTTATTTATTTATTTGTCAAGCATGTATTAGATAACAGATACAAGTATAAACATGGTTATGATTACATGAAATGGATACGAATAAAAGGGGACATTAGGACAGGGACCGTAGGCACGTTGGTGTGCTTATGCACTCCCCTTACAGACCTCTTAGGAATGGGATGAGGTCAACAGTAGACAGTTTAAGGTTAAAGTTTTGGGGGTTTGGGGAAGAAACCACAGTGTCAGGTAGTGCATTCCAGGCATTGACCACTCTGTTACTGAAGTCGTATTTTCTGCAACCGAGTTTGGAACAGTTTACCTTAAGTTTGTATCTATTGTGTGCTCATGTATTGTTGTGGTTGAAGCTGAAGTAGTCATTGACAGGTAGGACATTGTAGCAGATAATTTTGTGTACTACACTTAGGTCAGACAGAAGCTGGCATACTTCTAAATTGTCTAAGCCCAAAATTTCATGGCATAAGGTATTCTGTTGTGAGCAGAAGAGTGGAGAATTCTTCTTGTGAAATATCTCTGGACTCTCTCAATTGTATTAATGTCCAATATGCAGTGTGGGTTCCAGACAGATGAGCTGTATTCGAGAATTGGTCTAGCAAGTGTTTTGTATGAAGTTTCAGCTCCTAATTTGTAACTCAGCTGTATACTAACTAAAGTCTTGTCTCTCACCAATGTCCCAGGTTCCCTACCTTACCTGACATCAGTAGAAAAAAACAGACATTGCTCAAAGAGATATTTACTGGCTCTTGCTCCTTCTTGTCTCTCTTGCAAACTGCCAGACAAACATAAAGAATAAAGTATATGATAAATTAAAATGTTCAGTAAGCAAACAAAATCCCATAAAGAAGTTCAGGCATGAGTCATGGCTGACTGAAGATGTCTCCATGAACTATCAGACTGGTCCTATGAATTTCTCTGGAGAAAGAGAGATTGAAAGATCATCCACAAATTTTCTAAAAGTAGCTACTTGCAAGGAGACCATGGTGCCTTGCAAGGGTTGAGTAGATGACAACTTTACTCTCAACAGTGATGGACCAAAACTAGGGAAACTCATTTTGTAATCATTATTTTTGAATGTTCAATTTAACCACTTAGTGGATATTAGAGACGTTCAAACAGCAAGCTTGATTTGATGCCTGGTGAGTTTTACCTTCTTGGGATTTAAGAAATCTTAAATAAAGTCTCAAAAATTTACAATTTAAATTTATTTACACAAGCAAGCATCCCATTCAAGGATAACAATGAAGAAGGGAGTGGATGTGGAGAAAAAGAAAATACTATGTTTCATCTTATATGTATAATAAAATAATATTCATTTTTGTGCATATTTTTCCCACTGTTATTTATTAGATTTATATGTAATATTTCTCAAAACATGTGAACTTACTGCTAACAAAGAGCTGAAAACGATAAATCAGATTAAATCTTTCAGCATTCTATATCAAAGCGAAAGAAGGCAAAAGAATAAAATAAAACAAAATATAATAAATTGTAAAATTGAATTATACGAAGTACTACTTTGAGTTTTATTTTTAAAGGAAGTTCCTTTTTGGAAAATACATAAGCTAACTTCATGGAAAGAATGCTGGCTGGGTGAAATATGATGTGGGTGTCACTTCTAATTTTCTCTTTGGAAGAACCTTTGTATATTTTACTTTGATTACCTCTTTCAAATCATTTTTCATTTCCATAGTCTCTGAAGACATTATGTACCTTATATAACCTTGCATTTGGAGAGCATGGAGGATGCTATCATTCTTCTGACATTATACAGAGAAACTAAATCGCTTTAGTGAAAGCAGTTTTTCTTAAATACCTTCAACCCCTAATACAGTGGTGGCTAACCTTTTTGCCGTGCCAAAAGCAGGGGGAGCATGGGGGGGTCATGTGCACGCGTGCCCACACCCATAATTCAATGTGCCCCACCCCCCACACATGTGTGCACGACCCCCCACACTCCCACGCTTTTGGCACGTGATGGCCCGGTGGGCCCGGTAGGCCTCTTTTTCACCCTCCCCAGGCTCCAAAAGCTTTCTAGGAGCCTGGGGAGGGCAAAAACGGCCTCCCCCCCTGAAGGCCCTCTGGAAGCCGGAAACGGTCCGTTTGCCGACTTCTGGTGGTACCGAAAAGCCCAAAAGTCAGCTGACTGGTGCGCATATGGCTGTGTGCCACTTGTGGCATGTGTGCCATAGGTTCGCCATCACGGCCCTAATACATATGTGTGTATAGATAAAGATAAAATATTCTCTAAAGGACTTGGCTATAGTCCTCATATATGAAGAGAGATGAAATCTTATATCATATGACCATATTTTCCATAGATTCCATAGAATTTGCGGTTTCATTTATAAATTGTCCTCTTAATAAAATGTGTTGTGCTTTGTTTTGTTTGTGCTTTTAATTTTCCATGTGGCTATTGCCATTCTAGTCATCTTTATTCTCTGCCTGGATATTAGTTTTCAGTTGGGAAGTAATCCATATTGCACTGTTAAGTGTCAGGTTATAGCCAAAGCAGAACAGCCGAATGGAGCAGACAGTGGAGAATATCCAGAAATAGGTCTGGAGAGTGTTGTTCACTGGATTTTTGGATGCTAGGGGTACCAGTGGGGAGGAGGCGGGTAAGAGGCAAGCCACTTTGTGTGTGTGCGTGTGTGTGTGTGATGCCTTGATATTTTTTGAACCCCCTGCCGACATTCTAACTTCAAATATTTTTCATTTGAAATTCCCTCCATTTTTTTTTTAAATGAGGCTCATACAAAAGTTTAATAAGTTTGGTTTGAGATACTTTAGTTTTTTTAAAAAAAAATATTAATCTGAGATATTATCATCCTACCTGTCAACAACTACTTAAGCTTCAACCACAATAATACACGGGCAAACAATAGATACAAACTCAAGGTAAACTTCTCTAAACTCGATTGTAGAAAATATGACTTCAGCAACAGAGTGGTCAACACCTGGAATGCTCTACCCGACTCCGTTGTTACAACCTCAAACCCCCACTTAAACTGTCTACCGTGGACCTCACCCCATTCCTAAGAGGTCCGTAAAGGGGGCGTGCATAAGCGCACCAGCGTGCCTACCGTCCCTGTCCCACTGTCCCATTTATTTGTACTCATTACCTGTGCTCATGTCCATGTTTATACTTATACCTATTATCTCATACATGTTTGACAAACTAAATAAATAAATAAAATAAAATAAATAAATATCAAGTGGAATAAAACCATGAACAGGGTAACCAAAGTATATACGGATTGTTTCCTCCCCTCTTCTTTCAAAGCACTATTTTTTTTTTTTAATTTGATTTATATGCCACCCTTCTCCGGAGACTCAGGGCGGCTTACAATGCGTTAAGCAATAGCCTTCATTCTTTTGTATGTTTTATACAAAGTCAGCTTATTGCCCCCACAAACTGGGTCCTCATTTCACCTACCTTAGAAAGGATGGAAGGCTGAGTCAACCTTGAGCCTTGGAGAGATTCGAACCAGCAGAAATTGCAGGCAGCTGTGTTAATTACAGGGTGCACTAAACCCCTGTACTATCAAGGCTCTTAAACTATAAACCTGGAATTGTCCACTGAAGGACAATTAGAACCAAAGAAAGAAAGAACTTTAACTTTTATTAGACTTCTATACCGCTCTTATCCCGAAGGACTTAGGGCGGTATACAGCCATATTAAAACACATAAAATTTACAAAATTTAAAAACCATTAAAATCAAATATACAAAAATTTGGCCCACAAATTAAAAACTAACATACACCCATTAAAATTCAGAGAAGAAGAGACAAGAATGAAAACAAGTAGGGATCTGTGTTGCTATATTTGCAAATGTTTTGGATTGAAGTATCCTAGAGTTACCTCTGTTACTACAATTCTAGTAGCAGCTCCAGTACCTGCCAAAGCTATATTTTCTAAAATATAGGGGGAAAGGTTTTTTTTTTTTAAATACCAGGTGTTTTCATTTGTGAACAGCTTAAAGTTGTTTCTCTGCTGTTGCTGAGTTTTGATTATTATTATGACTATGTATAGATGTATATGCCTTACAATTCCCAGTTACTTGGGGGAACTTTATCCCTTTAAGTTATATAGCATCTTTTATTTTGTTGAGGGTTTGTTTTATCTTTGAGCAATATTTGTGAGTGAATCATGATCTACATACACATAATTAAATAATCTTCTGCAGTGTGTTTCTTTCTCTTTCTCTCTCTCTCTCACACACACGTGTGTGTGTGTGTTTTGTGTGTGGGAATAAGAATAGGTCTTTTGCAAAGCCAGATTTTTGAAGACGGGTGATAGGTCAGAATCAGCTGTATTTAACCAGTTTCCTAGGTTGAGAATATGTTTGGGTGGCATACAGTTCAGGAAAGCTAGGTCCGACACGAAGAGATCTTGATCCATTCCACATGCATAATCTGCACTCTTCTCCAACTCCTGCAACCTATTCATACATGCTAAAACAAACATGTGACACTGAAATGTGTTTGTTTCCCCAGTCTATTGGAACACAAGATTCTTGAAATGGAAGAAAGGCATAAAGAGGAACTAGATACGTTAAAAGAGGAAAAAGGGAACCTGCAAGTTTTGGTGTCTCGTCAAAGCTACATTATCCAAGAACTTGAGAGGCAACTAACTAAAGCAACAACCAATAACAGCATTATGCAGAAGCAACAACTTGAACTCATGGACACAGTCCATAGCCTGGTCAGCATTTGTTCTAAAGATGGAGGTAAGATGGTATTAGTTTGAAAAATAAACAGGAATAGATTGGTTGACTGTATTTAGTGCAATGGATAACTTTATTCATTCCAGTATATAATTTCCCAAACTAGTTAGTTGGAAAAAAAGGAACAAAAACATGCCTTCTTTAGTATTTCCATTACTAATACCAGTGGTCTGTGAGGATTGATATTGATGATTGTGGACCAGCAACATTGGAAGTAGATATATAAGTTCCCCTTGAAAGTCTAAAAGCTAAAACATTTTATTTGTTTTCCTTAAGCATATAAAATCCTTTGATTTGACTACATTAAAGTGGTGCATTTTGGGGTGGAAGGAGAACAAGCCATTGCTAACATGTTAATCAGGAACTGGTCTGTTAGTGTGAAATGAGAACATTGGATGTCAGGTTCCAAAACCAAGGAAGATATTGACGTCTTCTTAAGCAGATTTCTTTATTGTTCCTCATCTATAGAGAAAATTACCAAATTAAAGCAGACTAAAAAGGTAAAGGTTCCCCTCGCACATATGTGCTAATCGTTCTGACTCTAGGGGGCAATGCTCATCTCCATTTCAAAGCCGAAGAGCCAGCGCTGTCCAAAGACATCTCTGTGGTCATGTGGCCGGCATGACTAAACGCCAACAGCATGGAACGCTGTTATCTTCCCACCAAAGGTGGTCCCTATTTTTCTACTTGCATTTTTTACATGCTTTTGAACTGCTAGGTTGGCAGAAGCTGTGACAAGTAACGGGAGCTCACCCTGTTACGCAGCACTGGGAATTCGAACCACTGAACTGCTGACCTTTCGATCGACAAGCTCAGCATCTTAGCTACTGAGCCACTGCATCCCTTAAAGCAGACTAGTTTGCACCAAAAATATATTTATTTATTTATTTATTTATTTATTAGATTTTTATACCGCCCCCTCTCCCGAAAGACTCGGGAGTCTCATATACTATGAGAACTGTTAGAGAGGAGCAATCTTCTCCCTCTTTCTCTCACATAAACTATCTAAATTTGGTGGTCTCTTGCTGCTCTGGAATGCACTACTTTTCCTCCTGAGAACTCAGACAACTTTCTATCATATTGGATGAGGCTTGCTGGTTCTTGAGAAATTATCTGTGAATGCTGATCATTTTCAGAGGATTTTTATATACGCCAAGCTTGGGTTGAACATTGAAGTTTGATTCTTGCCATATTACAGATGGTACAGATCAATTGGTCTTTAGTCTTTTGCTCATCTATATTCTTATTCTGGCAGTCATTTTGGCAAATCGATCCTGACTACTCAGACCAGTGTGCGCAACCAATGGAGGTCCTGATGTTGTGGAAAGGAAAATGGCAGCAACTGTAGCTAGCCTGGCCAACAGAGGTGGTATTCAGCTGGTTCAGATAGGTTTAGGCGAACCAGTAGCACTTCCGTCCTGCTGCTATGCTGTCCTATTTAGGCACATTTTTGAGACTGGACGCATGCACAGAAGGTGCGTGCATGGCGAACTGGTGGTAACAAATATGAAACCAACTGCTGCTGGCCAATACTGAAGTGCCTCCATTTCCTAGCCTGATAAAAATACGGATCTCTTTTATTCAAGTACTGCACTCCTCCTGAGTCAATTGGGCGGAGTCTGTTGGTATCTCCCAGGCCTAGCTTCCACTTTTTGTTCTGCATTGTATTTTTAAACTGTGGTTAAGTTGAATTAAAAAAAATATTATCTAATTAGAATTTTAAAATAATATATTCTATAAACTTGATTATTCAACATTATTGTAATGGATGAAGGAGGCCTATACCATTCTGAAGTTGAGAAAATATCGGTCTTATCTTAATTTTCTTCAAAAGTATTTGAGGTGAGCCAGCAGTAATCTTATTTGTCTATATCTCATCACAAGTCTATTTGATCAATGGTCAGAATAATAAAAGAAAAAGTGCATTATGTCAAGGTCGCATAGATTTTTTAAACTGTGAGTGAAAGTCTAATAGAATACTGTAAAACAAAATTCACCATGGGCATAAATATTTATTCTTTGTTACACAAATCTAAATTTGTAGTAATATATTTAGATACTTTAATAGCAACGACACTAAATTTAGCTTCATTAAATGTGATATTAGGCTTATGGTCTAACAAGAGAAAAGCAAGATAAACTTATCTGATTTTCGTATCTTGTATTACAAGGGAGAGATGAGAGATTACTTTGATAATACGAGCAGTGCACAAAACATGTTGGGTGGTTTTTTTTTATCAAGTTTGAATTGTGGTGATAGATTTTTCTGAAAAAAGGAATTTTAGCTAATCTACCACTGAGAACTGCTGTAGGTAAAAGATCATGTCTGGTTCTAAAAAAGGATTGCTGCTGAGTAGGGGATATAAGTGTGGTTGAAAATCTACATGATTTCCATCTAGAGTATTTTAAATGAGCTTTGATAGTTGTAAACTAAATTCATTCTATTGTTTAGTATTAAATAATCTGGCTTTGTCCATTTGACAGGTTATTTTATATTCTAAAGACAATAGCAGGCTAAGAGAGAGGCTGAAAAGGGCACAGTTTTTGAGGACTAATAGATACCAAGACCTTTGAAAGTGATTTGTCAACATTAAAAGGATCTATCCTGCTGGGGGAAAATAGCATTTGAGCCAAAAATTAAATACGAGCAGCCATGCCTTTACCTCTACTTTCAGTTATTTTTCTTACCTGAGGAATGCATTTCATACACATTTTCATCCATGGAAAATTGATTGCATAAACCTAGAGTGGACTGTTTCTGGAGATTCATAATCAGAGAATTGGCCTAAGTGTCTTCCATAAAACATCTGGATTATAAACTTTGCCTCAAATAACTGAAATGCAGTAAAAATATGTTCCTGGCCTTGAAAGGACATGAAGGAAACACTAGGTAGCTCCTGAGCTCTTCAGGGCTAATTGTTTCATGTAATCTATATGATTTTTCCCAAAAACAATAGCAGGTAGGACCAGCGCTAAATATTTCAAACTCTTAAGTTGTTCTATTTCACTTCTGAAATAGTCTGCTTCAGGAGTGAAATGCTCCCAGTTCGGACCGGATCGCCCAATCTGGTAGCGATGGCGGCGGATGGTTCAGAGAACCGGTAGCAAAAACCTCATGCCCAGCTGAGCCGCACGATCATCAGAGGCTTTTTTTCTTACTTTCAAAAGCATTTTTTCTACAACCTCTTCCGATGAAAAAATGCTTTTAAAAGTAAAAAAAAAAAAAGCTTCTGATGATCGCGCAGCTCAGCTGGGATCGTCAGAGGCTTTTCAAAGCATTTTTTTCTGCAACTTCTTGGCCGAAGAGGTGGTAAAAAAAATGCTTTGAAAAGTCTCTGACGATCCCAGCTGAGTTGCCTGATCGGCAGAGGCATTTCAAAGCTGGTCTGCTTATGTTTTTTAGGCTTTTTAGCAAAGAAAATGAAGTAGTTTCATTCAATACTAATTAATTGAGTTTTTTAAAAAATAAATGTTGAGGTTGCTCTAAGTCTACTGATATCTCCTTTTGGTGTGCATGTAGTGCTTTTAGACTATATAAGATATGTGACCCATTTCTGAAGTCTGAAGTCCACAAATAAAGACACAGAGTCAAATTTTCTAAGAGCCATTGTTATGTTGATCTGTTTTATATTCCGAGTCATGCTCATTAGCTTCCATTGGTGGATGACAAGTTTTGAAATACTATTGGAAATAAATATCATATGACTAGATCTATATCCCTTATTCTTTGAAGACCCAGAATGTTCCTTCTATATTGTTACTGTATACCAGTATTTAGGTTTTTTGTTGACTTTAATTTGGGATTTCAGACAATCGGGAAACATATATCATTCAATAATAAATATGTTATCATCAGGTAGACAAAAGCATTTAACAATAATGCAATGGAGAATTGGAATCCTCATATTATAATTTTGAACAAGGGTGCTCCTGTTGATCATATTTAGCCAATCCACAATAGCCAATCCACATTTTATAACATGAATATAATTCAGTTCTTACTATATAGCACTGACTTGAGAAAAAACCTTTATAAATAACTTCACTGAATTTAAATTATCTAATAGACATTTAGTGCAGTGGTGGGTTTCAAATTTTTTTACTACCGGTTCTGTGGGTGTGGCATGGCTTGGTGGGGAAGGTTACTATAAAATCTCCACTTCCTCCCGATCAGCTGGGACTTGGGAGGCAGAGAATAGATGGGGGCGGGGCCAGTCAGAATTTTTACTACCAGTTCTTCGAACAACTCAAAATTTCTGCTACCAGTTCTCCAGAACTGGTCAGAACCTGCTGAAACTCACCTCCGATTTAGTGAATATAAATGGGTGTATTCAGTGGTGGGATTCAAGTAATTTAACAACCAGTTCTCTGCCCTAATGATTTTTCCAACAACCAGTTTGCCAAACTGCTCAGAAAGTTAACAACCTGTTCTCCCGAAGTGGTGTGAACTGGCTGAATCCCACCACAGGTTGTATTACAGAGTAACACTAGACAAGATATATATGCAGAATGTTTTACAATGCAGAAAGATTATCATGCAGTTTGTGGTAAGATCATATATTTTTTAACTAATTTATCAAATATTTTTCAATCCTTATTCTTATTTCAATTTATTTCAGTTTACTTTTCTGTTATCGTTTCTTGAATAAACTGTATCAAGTAATATATTTTCCCCAATTTTCATAAGTAATCCCCAATTTTCAGTTGGATAAACATTACCAATTCTTTAACGTAATATACTCAATAATCTTTGCAGGATTTTATTTCAGTGACCGCTAATATAACATCAATGTCTTGTCTCTTTAACTCGAATAGCTATCACAATTTTAGTGACAGCTGAATATTGTATTTGATATGCTATACCACATTGTTATATATACAACTTAGATGTAGGAGAAGGAGAGGCAGAGCCTTGGAGTGGACTTAAGAGAGGAATCAAACAGGAATCATTACAATTCCACAAGCAGTCCAAGTCCAGTTGCTCTTGAATTCTGTTAACACTT